TTGCACCCCTCCACCCTCCACCTGTTGCCGTCGGACCGGCCGGGCCTGTCGTGGTGGCAAATCGGCTTGCCTGCCGCGGCCTGCCCGCCGGTTTCCCGATTCAGCCCCGCGTCGCGCCTCGCTCCGCTTATCCACGTGTCCATCTGACGGGGGCTGAAAATCGAAAACACCGCGACTCGGATTATTTATCGCTCGGAGTGGATTCCCGGTTTCCGTATAAGCTCGTGGCGAAACGCGCCTCAAAACCACATTTCCGAAGTGTCACTGCGTGAAGAATTTCCGAGCGTCGCCCTATTGAGTCCTCAGTCTCGGCGGACTCCCTTGGTCCAGGTGTCCCGGGATGTAGGGTCACGGGACGGGGTCCCTCGGGGCGCGGCGGGGCGCGGGTTCGACTCCCGGCGGGCTGATCCATGAGACGCCGTTACGGGCGTGCATTCGAAGCGCGTGCCCCGCGGCCGCCCGGCTGCCTAGACCGAACCTAGACGAAGACGGGCATCTTGGGCCGGAGGGGCGCGCAGTTACGGCACGGACCGGGCCGGCCAGGCCGACGCAGCGGGCCGGCCGGCCGGACTCAGGTGTGGTCAATGGTATGACACGGAGTGTCCACTCCCATTGAGAAACGATATGCCCTCGTAGAGGAGATAGGGAGGAGGGAAGCGAGTTTCCGGCCATAATGCTTGTGATGCATGCCCGAGCGGCCGCGGCCCGCGGCCTCCGGGTCGGAAAGAACCGAAACGAAGCAGGGGCCGTGCCGAGCGCGCCAAAGCGGGTGGCGGGTCAGAGCGAGCAGGGACGTCGATAGTGGAGGCTTTAGAGCGCGTCGCGGCGTTGCGCGCACGGGCGCCGTAAAGAGACAATTACGGCGTTGATTGAGGCTCGTTTACACAGGGATTAGTGCGGCCGTTTAATTGCGGAACGTGTTCTCGTCAATAGCTTTCCAATTACTGCCGTGGCTACTTTGTCAATTGATCAAGCTTTTTATGGGCCGCTTAACGAGAGCTCTGCTCGTCTGGAATGCGAGGGAAGAAAGTTCACGAGCGTGGCGTGTCTGCATGGCATCTCGCTGCAGAGCCAACAGTTTTGCACGGGTTGCTCAAAATTTAGTAGAAATACTAATTTACTTTATCTACCAAAGACCGTTTCCCTTCGACGCGACTGTTACCAAATAATACCAATGTACGAGTGCCCCTCGCACCACATTAGGACTGGGATTACTGAACGCGGCTCTCGATACGGTGACGCGCGCCGTGTCCGGCGAGTCCACCGAGTCCGCGGGCAGACCACTGTAAGTGCAGCCGGCTGGCCCGGCAGTTACGCGTCCGCCGCGCGCACCCCCGGAGCCCCCCGGAGTATCCCGGAGTATCCCCGGAGGAAGGCGGCGGTCGCCTCGAAATTTACGATCTGGAGCGCGGGCTGCGCGGGCCGTGCTTGACACTGGTTGCCACCCAGGTGGCGGGCTAGCTGGCTGGCGGCATGGCCTGGCCGGCGTGGCGCGGCGTGGCCCGGCCCGAGGACCGTGCCCGTCCTTTGGCTAGACAAATCTTGCGCCGGAGCAACGGCAATATCTCGGCCGTCATAACGCAAGGCAGGGCGGAGCTTCCCTGCTCCGTTTCATTAACAACACAAACAACACTGCAGCGCAGGCACGCGAGGGTTTATGAAATTCCTCGGCTGTAGCGCCCGCAGTGTCCTGCGCCAGCAGTACGCCACACAGTGAGCCGAAAGGGTGGAGGCGGTCGAAATCCTGATCGTGTTTTGAGCTCCGGAGTCGCTAAACACGACTCGAACAGAACGTGTGACCCCACCAATCGATTGCTGGGGTCACACGTTTACGAGTCCTGTTTTCCGACTCTGGAGCTCAAAACGCGTCTAGAGTTTTGACCGCCAGCGCCAGTCTTCTGTCCCCCTGAGCACCAGCGCCGTGGGGTGGCTGGCTGCTGTTGGTTCTTAGTGTGTTTGTGTGTGCTGGTCACTCTCGTGTCAACGACTCAATATTTGCCCCGCAGCGCCGCGGCAAACAGACTCCTTGGAGTGTGCTCCGGAGTGACAAGCGGGCCGGAAGCTGAGGGGCGCCGGGGCATGAATGAGTCCCGCTTCATTCAGGGGCCCCACTGGAAAACCGTAAGGACCGAGAGGAATTTAATGACTATCTACGGTATGAATGAATAGGAATGTGAATGCGCAAATGAATGAATAAGGGAGTAAATGAGCGAATTGATGGACAAACGAATTGATGGACAAACGAGTTTATGGATGGATAAATGAATGAATGAATGAATGAATGAATGAATGAATGGATGAATGAATGGATGGATGAATGAATGAATGGATGAATGAATGAATGAATGAATGGATGAATGAATGGATGAATGAATGGATGAATGAATGAATGAATGAATGAGTGAGTGAGTGAATGAATGAATGAATGAATGAATGGCAAATCAAAGGATCAGAATAATGATGATTAAAACGGAGTGATTCATGAAAATGACAGAACGATAAATCACTTGGTCTGCTCCATCTCACTTCGAAGGCGCACGTTCGATTGGCCAGCCTTCTCCTTTTCGTTTTCTTATCCCGGCCGACAAGCGCGCGGCATTTCGTCCCCATTGGCAGGCCTGGCAGGCCCATCGGCAGGCAGGGCGTGGCGGGCTGTTGCTCCCGTCTTACCAAAACGGTGCAGGCAAGTGCAAGGTGCGGCTGGCCGGTCGGCCGGCCTGTCCCAGCCTGCCGGGCCTGCCGGGCCGCTGGGGGTCGTAGGTGTAGCCGTGGGTGGCGCGGGGAGGGGCCTAAGTGGCTGGAGGGGGACCGCATGAATGGGAGGGGGTGCTGGAGGGGGTGCTGGAGGGTGGTGGAGGGGGACGGGTGGGTGTTTTTATGCTGGCGAGCCAAGCGCCCCTTCTTCACCCCCTCGCCCTGCCTCCCCTGCCCTGGCGGAATGCGGCGGCCCAAACGGGGGGTACTGACCCCGGCAAGCAACAACGCGCCGGCTTTCGCGGTGGCTTTTTCCGCGCCGCGACGCGCCCGGCGCGCACTTTGACACGAAACTGCACGTCGAGCCGGTGACTTGGCAAAACAGCAATTCGCGGCCGGCTCACGGCCGGCCCAATAGTGTGGCAAGTCGAGCCAAGCGTGCGTAACGAAAAGCACGATGCAAACACATGGGGACACCGGCCAAAATGTTGGGACAAGCCGGCAAGAGGTGTTTTCCCGCACCCCGCCACTGTACTAAACCGAAAAGTGCCGTGTGTTGCACTGCTTGCCTCACGAGGCCTCCTGCCTAAAATGGCAAAACATCTAGCTGCACCAGAGTGGTTGTGGAGACGTCTGCCCCACCCCTAAGGAGGTGAGAGGTGTCCCCTTTGCACAACGTGACATTTCCCCACGAACGTCGCACTGCGTTGCACTGGTGTTGCATTGTACGCACGATCTAAGGCAAGGCTCGAGCAAGGCTAGGTTAATGGTTCACGGCGGATGAATGAATTGCAACGTGGCGCTTGCGCGGCTTGCGCGGCCTGCGCAACCCCCGAGGTTGCAGCGTTGCCTCACGCGCCTCGACGGAAGACAAAGCAAATGGCGGACGCAAAGACGGCGGACGCAAGGACAAAGTGTGTACAGATCATGTTTTCGAAAGTGGCGCGCTCGCGCGAGTGATTTGAATAAAAAAGCAGCTAGCGCGTTTAATTGCAGACTCTGCATGCAGATCAGGGGCAAACTGATTTGCAGCCGCAAGTGTCGCAATGGCTTTCTGGTTGGCCAATGGAGACAGAGTTCCCGCTTGCCACACAGCGAAAAGACAGACAGGGGGATCAGTTTCCCAACTATTTTATGAATTGATCGATTTCGTCGGAGTAGCGCCGCTTGAGGTATATCCATAGAATCCCATACCTATCTTTGGCATTGAATTGTATCGCAAAAGGTGGCTGCAAAAATGAATCTTTTCTTTTCATACTCTATCGTAAGATAGATATACGGGTAATTTGTTCGAATAAAATGAGATTTTTCCACCCTTTTCATCCTAGAAGACTCACTCCCTCCTGCTAGATGAGGAAATGTAACTCAATGCCGAAGATATTTTTTTAAACAATAAACCACAGCAAAAGTCGAAATAAAGAAGTGTCATTTCTTTTGGAAGTGGATGGAAGTCGTTTCCCGAGTGTTCGCTCCCCCCGAAAGGCCTCCGCGCGTCGTGCCTGGTACGACTTGCTGCCACCGAGCACGCTCCAAAGAAAAAAGCGGCAACATGGCTGACAGTCCGCGCTCTCTGATTGGCGGAGCGCTCCGCGGAGTGCGCCCACTCGGTTCGCGACGCGGCGTGGCGCGGCGTGGCGCGGCGTGGCGACGGCCCACGCACGGAGACGAGCATTCATTGTCTCGTTCGGCCGCATCGGAGAAAAATGAGTTCCCGGCCGCCATCTTGGAGCCGCGGAAAAAGCGCCGCGGCGAGGGCTTCTCTGGGCGGCCGCCGAAAGAGGAAGGGAGGGGCCGAAAGACTGGCCTCAAAAGATACACCATTTCTCAAACTCAAAGCTATCTGGTTCACACTACACAACCGTTCACTAACTTTCCAGGGGTGGGACTCTCTCAATGTAAACTGCGTCAGACGCTCAGCGAGGCCAAAGTGTAGCAAAACTTGAGTAACACGACAGTTTGGGGCCCCATTCAGGGTAAGCAGACAAGTTGAGTAAAAGGCAAACACATGTTGAAGAAGCCCGTCATTTAAACGGCAAAATGGATCAGAATGACACGTTTTTCAGAACAAAGTTAGCTTTGAGGTACGTCTTAAGCATCACAGACTTTGAGTTCATTTTTACTCTGCCTTGCTTGCTTTTCCTGGGTGTCCGTTGCTAGGAACCACAACTCGCTATTGTCAAGGAAAACCAGCAAGTGAAAACAAATTTAAGGTGGAGGCAAAATCGGACTCTTTGCGTAAGGCTGCTAGCTAGCGCAATGGGACCCCAGACTGTCTCTCCAAAATGGCGCTCGAAGCTGCTGCTTACCTGAGGTAGAGTTGAGCCACAGCGCGAACAGGTCCTCCACGGGGTAGTGCACGTTGTAGTGCCCCGGGATGACGCCGAGCTGGCGCTGCAGCACGCGCCCCGAGGGGGGCCCTGACGGCGCGGTGGTGGTGACGGGCGCACTGTGCAGCCCGCTCGCGAGGAGGAAGGCCTCCCGCAGAGAGGTAGGGGTGGTGTTGGCGCTCGAGGTGGCGGCCGCATGCTCGGCCACCCCTTCACCACTGTCTTTGCCACCGTCGGCAGCGTCCAGGCGGCTGCGTTCCCCACGGTCCGCATTGTCCAGCAGTAGCCTCTGCACCTGGAGGATGTCGACAAACTCCTCCTGGGGGTTGCCGTTGGAGGGCGGCGCCGACGACAGCCCGTCGTCGGCCAGCTCCCCGAGCGCGGTGGGCGGCCTATGGGCGGCGTCCGGGAGGCACGGCCGGCGCATAGCCGCGGGGATGGTGAGCATGGTGCAGGGGCGTGGGGCTGGGCGCGGGGCGAAGGCGCGGGGAGCACACGGCGGCCATGCCTAGGAGCCACGCATCATCCCTGCAACACCGAGGAACCTGTCAGCGTGGCTGAACTCACAGGCACTTAGCGCCTACCAAACATCAAGGACAACTCAGTCAGTCCACTAGAAGTCACCTCACTCGTGATCCCGGTGCAGGAGAAACCACGCCAGGATCTAGTCAGTAAACAAGCTGCTTTCTGAACGAAGTAGGGTGCCCACCTCGCTCCGCCAACCCCCTTTCAATCTCCACGGATATCTGCCAAGCTAGGCGTCTGCTCCCCTCGACTGACCAAAAAGAAGCGAAAGCACGACGTTGTCTTTTCAATTTACTTAGTTTTACATTGAGTAGGCCAGCGGAGTCGATTCTTTTTAGTGCTGGTGTATTAAAATACAATAAATATTGCCATGCGCCGATGACATAAAATGATTGAAATTTCACTGAGATATCAATATTATTTCCTCATACTTTGTCAACAATTTAAGGGCAGTCATCAGTTTGGCAGTAGGGCAACCCCTAGTTTGTTCAGTTGTAAGGGTGGCCCCTAGTTTCAGCAGTAGCAAGGGCGGCCCTAGTTTCGGCAGTAGTATGAGACCTCCGTTGTTACAGTTAACAGTAGTAAGGGGGTCTTATTGTTTCAGCTGTCATGCTTGACAACTTGACGCCTTCGAGTTTGGTCTGACCGGTGTCTGACCGCCAGAAACTCTGGCCGCATTATCCGCTCGCGTCAACCTCATCAACGTCCTCCTCCTCCACCTCGGCCGAGACCTCGGCCCACTCGCGCGGTAATGGCCCCAAGTAGCACTTTCAATACCCGGATCTGTCCAATCAGCGCGCGGCGGTAAATCAGAAACAAAGCGATGCGGCGTGGGTTTGCTAAGAGGCGGCCGATTTGTTACTTCTGCGCGGAAAAGTCTGTGCGGCGCGTTAATTTTGCCTGCCGCGGGCCTCGCGCCGCGCGGTGACAGACTCTGAGTGAGACTCCGAGGAGGACTTTGATTCTGCTCGCGGTGGCGGCGGCATCCGACTCGGCGCGTCGTGTTTTGTCGTCCCGAGCTAACTTTGAAACGCAAAACAAAGCTGCGGCCCTCATACCCATACGTCCTGTCTAGCGGTGGCACCAGAGCGCGGAAAATAGAGGAGATCCTCGGCGCCGTGCCCGGCCGGCCGCGTCTCGCCGGCCTGGCCCGCCTGGCAGGGCCGCGGCCACCAGAGGGACGTTTTCCGCCGCTTCCGTCTCATATCCGTCGCCAGACAGATTTTTAGAACACGCTGCAAAGACGGATGGGCGACCTCGCGGGACCGCGTTCGCAGTGCGTGCAGCCGTTGCAGCCGCCGCAGCCGCGGGCAAAAGTAGAGTACATTCTTGTGTGACGCGGCGGCGCGCTGGGCACACTGCTCGGACAGTTTTACAGGATCTAATAGGAGCACGTTGTTTTAAATTTAAAGGACCTAGACCACATCAAAACAGACCCAGGGTAAGAGGAATTCATATTCTTTGCTGGGAAACGATTTGCTTCTTTTATCGTTCTTAGAAACCACCAAAGCAAAGCATTCATGTTTTCTGAGGAAATCACCGTGCTGTTTTTCCTTGAGCAACCGACATTTTACTGGCCCCTCTCCGAATACGACGGACTACTGCTCAGTGCTTGACTGTTCAAATTTGGTCGTAGTATTGTTTTTAACCACACACTTCACAGGTCTCTTAGTGACGGGTAGCGGTTGGCCAGAACCTTGTGAAGGTTTCGCGCTGAGAACACTTGCCACTTGAACGATCTTTCGAGGAACTCTGGTGACATCAGGAAGAGCGAATAACAGAGCTCCGCGCTAAAGTGGAAAAAGTCCTCACGAGGCTGACGCAATTTTCTGCTCAGTGATTGCCACCTAACCTCAATAAACGTCAATCCGCGAAGAGGCAGCGAGGAAGGAACGATTTGCTCCCGGTGAATGAGGCTGAGCTTCTAGAGCAGCTCGCCCAGAAACTTTTTCGAGAAGCACCATTCGGGTGTCGGATTTCGTCCGGTGCTTCTGGTATTAAGGCAATCGGCCACGCAGCAGATAAAAGGGCGCGCAGAGCTGCCTGCCGTCGACTGCCGTCGGCTGCCGTCGACTCCGATTTCCGAACGTGGTCCCCTGGGGAGACCGCGCCGCGCGAGCCGAGACGCGCCGGTGAGGCTGGGGTACCATAACCTAACCCGGTCACGGGTGCGCCGGTACCGGCGCGCGGGTACCGCCGGGCAACGGGTACCCCCACTGTGAATAACCGCGGCACCGTGCTGCCAGTGGCGGCCAGCCGCTCTGCGAATAATACTAACACTGTGCGGGCGGCTCGGATGACGGAGAGGTGATGTTAATCCAAGTAGGTGAAGTAGTCACACTGCACTAGGAGCACTCCTATTGGAGAGACCATCACTTTATCACTTTCACATTCACTTTCATGTTGGCAACACTGAGTATCACTTCACATACACACGCGCACAATGGCGAACGCACACACTGACGCTGCACTGATACACTCACACACACACGCGCGCGCGCGCGCTCGCGCTATCACTTGTTTCACGGCGGCACTGGCGACCACGTCGACGGCGACGTGCCGACTTGTTCGGGGGCCTCGGCGGTGCGGTGTCGGCCGTCACGAGCGGCGCGCCGCGGCACGACACATGCGAGCGTCTTTCGGGACGGAAGTGGCCGGCGCGGCCGAGGCGGGGCGTGGCGGGGCGCGAGCGCGGCGAGCGTGGAGCGTGGGAGCCGAGCAGAGGGGGTGTGCCCACACGTCGGCTACGTCGGGGCTACGTCGGGGCTACGTCGGCCAGCGCAGGACGACGACTGAAGGAACACACTTACCCTGACGCCCCCGCAGCCCCAGAGGCCCCCGCAGCCGCCCCCGTGCTTGTGCCCACGCACCGCCCGGCCCCCGCAGCACCGCGCCACCCCGCGCCGCCCCTCCCCCGCCGCGCCCGAGAGCCCACCAACCCTCGGCTCCCCGGCCGGCGCGGCCGGCGCGGCCAGCGCGGACCGAGCACCGGTACCGGGGTACCTGCCGGGGTGGGGGTAGCGAGGCGTTCTGCTTCCTGCTTCCTGGTACCCGGTTCCGGCCCGGTACCGGAAGATAAGTCCGCCTTCAACAGAATTATGTCAGAATCAAGGGCAAGTTTTTTGCAATTCCGTCAATCGGTGTTGATTGAGCTACATCAAATATCGGCAGTTGGAACTACTTTCTGAGGCACTCGTACTTCACGAGGACCTTCCAGATGACGATCCCAGCTTGCCGCGCCGCCGCGCTGCCGGGCCGGGCCCTTGAGGCCGGGCGAGCTAGACACACAATGCCTCGGGCTGCTAATTTGGCGGCTCATATCGGCATGAGGACGCGTAGGACGAGGACGGCGAGGACGACGAGGACGACGACAGTGAGGACGGTGAGGATAGTGAGGACGGCGATCACGGCGAGGACGGCGATCACGGCGAGGACGGCGGAGACGGCGACGACGGCGGAGGGGAAGGACGAAACTATGTTGGAGATGATGAAGGGGCCCGAAAGAAGGACGAAATAAAAAGTAAAGACACGCGGTGGAGGGGGGACCGGCTTACAAAATGTGGAGTATATTGGGATGGGATGAGCCACTTGGCAGTGTGCCTGCGCGGCGTCACGGCGTTACCGCGCCCCTTACGCGTTACGTCGCCAAGCAGCGTAACGCACCGTGCCATTGCTTGGAAAAACCGCAAGTTCCGCCTAAAAAAAAGTTGCAAAAAAAGTAAACTAGAAAAATTTAGGTGGCAAGGCGCATTTTATTTAAGGCGTGATTCGGCGAACCGGCGGTGGCCGTATGCAAATGAGTCGGAGGTACCGAAGCAGCCGCAGGGCGAGGACGGCGAGGACGGCGAAGGGCGGCCGGAGGCAGCGCCCTAAGTGACGGCGGCCGGCGATACAATGCGAGATTAGGGCCGCCTGGTCGGCCTAGTCGGCCTAGTCGCGTGCCGGCCGGGCGTGCGTGAGGGCCGCACGTGCGCGACTCTGCGTGTGTGTGAGTGTGTGTGTCTGCTAAGTGGGAGGTGTGGCTATCGCCGGGCCGCCCGCGGTGAGCCGTCACAACTCGGTCGTTGTGTGCGCTGCGCTGCGCTGTGCTGCGCGGCGCGACGGTGCAGTCCACCCGGCCGGTTGGAGTTCGCGGTAGTGTGCTGTCATCGGAGACATAGGGTCCATCACGCCGCCGCCTGATCCTCCCGATAGCGCCGCCTGCCGCGCCAGCCGCACCAGCGCAGCGACAGCCGCTGCTGCAGCATCTCGTCACGCCCGACCGCGCACCGCACCTTGTCGCCCCTGGTTGCACCTTGTCGCACCTGGTTGCTCGTCGCCCCTGGTTGCACCTGGTTCCTCCTGGTTGCTCCTGGTTGCACCTTGTTGCACTTTGTCACACCTGGTTGCGCCTGGTTGCGCCTGGTTGCACCTGGTTGCACTTTGTCACACCTCTGGTTGCACCTGCACCTGGTAGCACCTGGTTGCATCTGGTTGCACCTGGCAATGTCGTTCCGACAATTGCGAGACACAGCCACCCGCTTTGCATGGCGGCTGCAGCGTGCGTGCGCCCGCCTCGCGAAAACAAGCCGTCCGGAGTTATTCCGCTTATTAAATTTAACGAACGGCGTGCGTTAGCTTGACTATGAATTCGGAGGGTAAGACTGGCCGGCGAGCAGCTGCACTGCACGCCACGCCACGCAACGTGCGGAAAAAAGCGTAAGGCCAGTATCGGCACGCAATCATGACGCTGGGTCGTTCGGGCTGCGTCGTGAGCACTACGTCGTTACCTTGGGCAGGAACGGCGGGAACGGAACGGCAGGGTGGCAGGGCGGCAGGGCCTACCGGCTACCTCACCAGTTATCGATAAATATAAATTATGAGAGGGGCGGGGGGACGGCTCGGCCGGTGGAGTGAAGGCATGGCCAAGGCATGGCGAAGGCAGAGGAGTGAAGAGGTACGATTTTGATGTTTGCTGCTCCTGGAACTTGCTTATGTGCCTCTATCGGAGGCCGAGTACCACCCATGGAGAGCCCCGCGTGTGTGCGCGTGTGTGAGTGAGTGCTGCGCGCGCGAGCGTGTGTGTGTGTGTGTGAGTACAAGTACCCCGCGATCGGCTCAGTACAGGTACCCGCCACGCCCGTCCCGGCCGTCCCAGCAGTGCTGGCCGCCCCGCCCCGCCCCGCCCCGCCCGATCTCGGCGCATCAGCGCTGTCATGCCGCGTCTACAGTAATCGCATCTGTAAAGCGTGATTGATAGATATGGCTCGTGGTGCTCATGGCGGAGCGCGGGGCGCGCGGCTCGCCAGGGTACCGGGGTGGCGGCGAGGTGCGGTGGGGCGCGGCGGGGAGGACGCCGCCTGCATTTTGAGGTCCGGCGAGCTGACTAGATCATGCTTCCGCACGGGTCCCTCGTCGCTCTATCTCTCTCGCACCGCGACGGGGTGCTCCAGGAGTGCGAGCGAGACAGGGCGCCAGTTCATCAGCCTGCATGCGACGCCCCTCATTCACGCCTAGCACGGCGGTGGCGCGCGGCGCGGCCGAGGCCGGAATTTCGAATGGCCCTCTGATTGACCGCCACCGGGCCGCGCCCCGCACGCCCCGCACGCCCCGGGCACGCGCCGCCAGCAACAAGCAGTGCGTAGGCCGGCCGAATTTGAATCCCCCGCCATTCGGCGCTCTGCACGCTGCTTTATTGAGGGCCAGCGTCTTGAGTGGGCCGACAGGCCGGCGGTCGACGGGGAGGTGCCGGACCCTCCGCAGCCGCGGCCCTATGCGCCCTGAGTCCCCGCGGCGCGAGCTGCAGCGCGTGGACGTGGACACGCGCCAGGAATCCCGATGGTTTCCTCAAAGAGTCCACGACACAAACAACAGAAATGGGTGCGACGACGCTGTGCCGCGCTTTTAGCAGTGTGGCGACACGGCGACACGCACCGCCGCGGGTTCAACTAGCAGTGCATCGTGCAAGGTGCGCCTCACGCATGCCGCGCGGTGCAACAGGCTCGCGTTGTCCCAATTAGTCGACAAGGTATCGCCTGATCGATTGGTTTCGCACGAGCCAACAAGCCGCCGTCGTCGCGCCGCCGTCCTCAGCCTGGCCGCGACGCCGCGACCGTCGCGTCGGCCCGTCGCACATCGTTAGCCTGCTGCAGCCTGCAGCCTGCGCTCTGTCTCTCTCACACTCGTGGGGCGACCCGCACCGCTGCGAGAGAGACAGAGTGACGACCTGCCTGCTGCCTGCCCTCCGCAGTCCTCTCCGGCCGGCTCCCGAACGCACGCCAAGAAGCCTGGCTCGCGGCTCGGCCAGACACGAAACCGAAACACGAAATGGCGGCTCGCTCCGAACCGATCGCGAAACGTTTCGCATCGCGCGCGGTGATTTCGAGAGCCGTGGGGGAATTTCCAAACCGCCACACTTGTTGCTGGCAGGGTAGTGCATTTGCCTGTTTGGCTCTTTATAGTGGAACGAGTGGAACGCACTCCCTGCTTCTGCAGGTCCGTCGAGACTCTCGAGAGGCGATTGACTAGTGATTAATGCGACAGCCTGACACCCCAGCACGCCCATAGGGCCTGGGGCGTGGCGAGGCGTGGCGAGGCGTGGCGGGGCGTGGCGGGGAAGGGGGAGGCGACGGCGACGGCGGTGGGGCGGGCCGGGCGGGGCGCCACCCAAAGCAACCCAAGCCGCGCGAGGCACGACGTCGTGCAGCCCTACCGACCAGGATGCCCGGCGGGCTCCGAAAACGCGCTGCTATTGATGCGTATAGCAATGCGCGGCCCTAGTCGCGGCGCCACGACAAGTACCACTGTTGCCCGTGCCTGGCACACTGGTTGGCAGTGGTGGGCACGCCCGCCGGCTCACGCAGCAGCCTGCAAGAAGGGAGCCGTCCTGCCGGGCCGTTCCGCCGTTTCTGCCGCGTTCGGCCGCTCGGGTTGTTCATGTTAATGAGAGACACGAGTTACGCGTCCCCAGGAGTGTTAAACGGTGTCCACTAATGCGGGCGCGCCCGCTGGCTGCGCAGGCCAAGTCGCAGGCCGACGCCGAACGTCGCCGTGCGTCTCTCTCGCTCTCTCGCCCCGCTCCGTAGAGGTGCGAGGGAGAGAGACGCGGCGACGATGTTACGACGACGACGCGGAGCCACGCGGAGCCAGCCCTGCCGCTCGCTGGCATGCAGGGCATGCAGCAGGCTCCAGGGCGGCGGTTGGTTGGTCGCTGTCGCGGTCTGTCGCAGGCCGCCATTTAGCACGCGGCACGACCCGAATATTGGCCGTGTTTGTTATCGTGTGCCGCAACACTGTGTCGCCTTCGCGCTCTGATTGCAGGACAGCGGCCGAGTGAAAGTGTGTGTCGCGGTGTGCGTGCACTGCCTTCTGTTTTGTCGCGTGCCTTGGTAACACAATATGGCCGGAGCATTGTTGGGCCGTGTCGCTGGCGTTGCTGCGGCGTCGCCGGGCGACAAGGCGCTCGATCGCTAGCCGTCTCCGCCACTGCGAAACGGCCGCTCGTTCTCCCTGTTTTGGGCGAACCTAGGCCCTGGAGCGCCGCTGCCTGTCTGTCCGTCTGTCCGTCCGCCCGTCCGTAATCATGTTAATAGG